CTCTCTCTCTCTCTCTCTCTCTCTCTCTCTCTCTCTCTCTCTTCTCTCTCTCTCTTCTCTCTCTCTTTTCTCTCTCTCTCTCTCTCTCTTTCTTTCTCTCTCTCTTCTCTCTCTCTCTCTCTCTTTCTCTCTCTCTCTCTCTCTCTCTCTTTCTCTCTCTCTCATCCTCCCAGAAAAATTATGAACGAAGTTTATAATTTGAACTCGATTGAACAAGTCACAATGGACTTGATGATGGTCCAGGACGGACCGAAACGTCTTCGTCTCTTCATCTTCTGATGTGGTTTGGTCATGATATCTTCAGCCCCGTTATTGTGACTCATCATCTGCATATAAAAGAAGTACTGAAACTGGCGAATTGTCCCGTAGTGTACAGGACAATTACACCAAGATATCTAATTTAACTTCATAATAATCACATGGGGAATAGGAGGGGGGGGTAGATGCCACTATTACTTAAAGTGTGGCACTAGAGCCGACCCCGACTGTTCTGTGACACTCCCCTCCACCACGGGCTTCATGTGTGAACGTCGGATACTTTACCATATTTTTTATGATAAAAATAATTATCAATATAAGTCTACAGTGTTAAGGAGATCATGAAAGTTTCATATAAGGGCATCTCACAGTACGAACGGCGGTCGACTGCCCATCGGCGGCCCATCCCAGATCCTTATCCTGATCCCTTCCAAGTGCTATATAGTCGTAATGGCTTGGCGCTTTCCCCTGATAAATCACTCCTCTCTAACTTTCTTTCCCTCTCTCCCTCTTCCCCTTTACCCTCACTACCCTCTCTCAGCTTAGCACCACTGAGCCTTAACTAAGTTCAAAATACAACGTTACACTACTGTAGAATACAGACTCCTGTATGTGCTTTTTAACAATATAAAATATTCACATCTATCCAGTCTGAACTATGGCCACTTAAAAACGCTTCCAGCTTTTACCAAAGCTGCACTCCCCACAGTTTCAATAGGAAGTTTCCTTTTATGATCCTATAAAAGCATTGTAAGTTTCAAGATAATGACAAGAGGCACTCAAGATATCGCCTAGAAATCAATAAAAGAAACACAAGCATAAAATAATTATTTCTCAGGAAGGCCAGCAGAGTGTTCCGCTGCTCAGCATCAACTGGGATATTTTAAGTCTAGTTAAATAATGTCAATTTTACAAGTTAATGTAAGGAATTGATGCATAAATAGTTACTCGACAGCATGTTTATATAATATCACAATGTTTAAGATTAAACATCGGGATATTTCATGTGTGTGTGTGTGTTCTTCATACATGTAGGGAGAACACACACACACACATGGTGTTACATATAGGAAGCACCAAGTGTGTTCACATGGTGAACACACACCACCTCCACCCCTACACACACCACCTCCACCCCTACACACACCACCTCCACCCCTACACACACACCACCTCCACCCCTACACACACACCACCTCCACCCCTACACACACACCACCTCCACCCCTACACACACACCACCTCCACCCCTACACACACACCACCTCCACCCCTACACACACACCACCTCCACCCCTACACACACACACACCACCTCCACCCCTACACACACACACCACCTCCACACCCACCACCTCACACACACACACCTCCACCCCTACACACACACCACCTCCACCCCTACACACACACACACCTCCACCCCTACACACACACACCACTTCCACCCCCTACACACACACACCTCACACCCCTACACACACACACCACCTCCACCCCTACACACACACACCCCTACACCTCCACCCCTACACACACACCACCTCCACCCCTACACACACACCACCTCCACCCCTACACACACACACACCACTTCCACCCCTACACACACACACACCTCCACCCCTACACACACACACCCTACCTCCACCCCTACACACACACCACCTCCACCCCTACACACACACCACCTCCACCCCTACACACACACCACCTCCACCCCTACACACACACCACCTCCACCCCTACACACACCACCTACCACACCACCTCCACACACACACACCACCTCCACCCCTACACACACACACCTCCACCCCTACACACACACCACCTCCACCCCTACACACACACCACCTCCACCCCTACACACACACACCTCCACCCCTACACACACCACCTCCACCCCTACACACACACACCACCTCCACCCCTACACACACACCACCTCCACCCCTACACACACCACCTCCACCACCTACACACACCACCTCCACCCCTACACACACACACCACCTCCACCCCTACACACACACACACACCACCTCCACCCCTACACACACACCACCTCCACCCCTACACACACACCACCTCCACCCCTACACACACACCACCTCCACCCCTACACACACACCACCTCCACCCCTACACACACCACCTCCACCCCTACACACACACACCACCTCCACCCCTACACACACCACCTCCACCCCTCCACCCCCTCCACCCCTACACACACCACCTCCACCCCTACACACACACCACCTCCACCCCTACACACACACCACCTCCACCCCTACACACACACCACCTCCACCCCTACACACACACCACCACCACCACACACACACCACCTCCACCCCTACACACACCCACCTCCACCCCTACACACACACCACCTCCACCCCTACACACACACCCACCTCCACCCCTACACACACACACACCTCCACCCCTACACACACACACCTCCACCCCTACACACACACACCACCTCCACCCCTACACACACAACCTCCACCCCTACACACACACCACCTCCACCCCTACACACACACACAGCACCTCCACCCCTACACACACACCACCTCCACCCCTACACACACACCACCTCCACCCCTACACACACACCACCTCCACCCCTACACACACCACCTCCACCCCTACACACACCACCTCCACCACCTCCACCCCTACACACACACACACCTCCACCCCTACACACACACCACCTCCACCCCTACACACACACACCTCCACCCCTACACACACACCACCTCCACCCCTACCACCACCACCTCCACCCCTACACACACACCACCTCCACCCTACACACACACACCTCCACCCCTACACACACACACACACCACCTCCACCCCTACACACACACCACCTCCACCCCTACACACACACCACCTCCACCCCTACACACACACCACCACCACCCCGACACACACACCACCTCCACCCCTACACACACACCACCACCACCCCGACACACACCACCTCCACCCCCACACACACACCACCTCCACCCCTACACACACCACCTCCACCCCTACACACACCACCTCCACCCCTACACACACCACCTCCACCCCTACACACACACCACCTCTACCCCTACACACACACACCTCCACCCCTACACACACACCACCTCCACCCCTACACACACACCACCTCCACCCCTACACACACCACCTCCACCCCTGCACACACCACCTCCACCCCTACACACACCACCTCCACCCCTACACACACACCACCTCTACCCCTACACACACCACCTCCACCCCTACACACACACCACCTCCACCCCTACACACACCACCTCCACCCCTACACACACCACCTCCACCCCTACACACACCACCTCCACCCCCCCCCCCCCCCACACACACACACACCACCTCCATCCCTACACAAACCACCTCCACCCCCCCCCCCCCCACACACACCACCTCCACCCCTACACACACCACCTCCACCCCTATACACGCCACCTCCACCCCCCCCCCCCACACACACACCACCCCTCCCAGATGCTGGGAAAGAGGGGGCCATAATGAGGTGTGTGGATGCTGGTAGCGACGATTGTGCCGTCGCTCGAATCAACAGATGACGAGCGATAAGACACGGCCTGTAGGACGACCCATGGAGAGGCAGAGAAGTAGGGAGGGTTAAAGGTAGAGTAGGAGTGAGGGTAGGAGGGACGGAAGGAGGGAGAGTAGGAGGGAAGTTAGAGTAAGGGTAGGAGTAAGAGTAGGAGTTAGGATAGGAGAGAGGGTAGTAGGGAGGGGAGGAATAAGAGAAGGATGACAGCATATAAGGGAAGAATAGTATGATGAAAGGAGGTAAGGAAGGGAGTGAAGGGAGGGAATTCTTAGGGAAAAGCGCAAAGCCATTACGACTATATAAGTGTCTGGCGCCACAACAACAGAGTGTATGGCACAATGTGAGGCGTCGCAGTGTCAGCGTCTTGTGACCAGAGTCTGGCATAGAGCACTAACTAGTCTGGCAGGTGTTGCGCCAGTCCCACATTAATAAAAAAAGAGAAAAACAAAGTAAAATAAAACTGCTTGGATCCTCTAAGGTGTATCAATTGCGAGCAAAAAAACAAAAAGAATAACAACTTTAAACATTTAATATAACAAAAAATGACTTTAATTTTACACAAAATGATAAGTAACAATTAATGAAAACAAAACCTCTTATCCACTTGGCTTACACGCGATCAAAAGAGAAATATATACATGTGAAATTTACGTTAATAACAAAGGTGAGCCGTGTGGGAGGGTGTTGTTGTTGCGTCGGCGCCATGGGGACCCCCCTCCCCCCCATATTCGTCGCACTAAGACCGTGGGTCTGGAATTTTCTGGACGTGCGTCTTACCTAGCCCTTGAGATTGTCCTGTTGGATATGCTGCGTGTGCGTGTTGCCGATGTGTACGGGCTCCAACTGCAACCCGTTCTCGCAAATTCGTATAGTCAATATTGACTTATTAACTACGTGCATAGGTGATATACTAAACATAATAGATACCCTTAAAAAGCTTCATAGAAAACACCGACCTTACCTAACCTTGTTAGTATTTTAAGATAAGCATCTTATTGCTTCGTCCACCCATCGGGCACTTGTTAAGTTTAACTCCGCTGCTGTCTATAGAGACTTTGCGGCCCGTTACGATAGGCGCTCTCTTCCTCTCCCTGGGGACGGTGGTACCGTCACTGTCTCTGACCGGTGCTGCTTGGTGACGTATGTGGCCCTGCATGGTGTGCTATTTGAATTCACGGAGGCTTTGCTTTGACGGTATTTTGGCCAGTTTGGGACTGTCGTTTCCATCCGGATGAACTCCGTCTCCGGCATGTGGCGTGGTGTCTCGTGTGAACCATACACTGCAAACACAAAAAATAATACGCCACCCAAACTCTCAGGTTATGTAGCTTTCTCAAATGTTGGTTCCCATGATGTCGGTATCTTGACGTATGTTAAAAGTCCCCTAGTGTGTAAACATGTTAAAAACCACAAAAGTGACGACTCATATTATCAGCAGTTTCAGATTGCTACAGCGACCGGGTTTATTAACTTAGTTAATGTATATGTAAGGTGCGATCAAATGGTGGAAGCTTCTCTCCCAAAAATTACCAGCAGCTCTCAAACCATTGTAATGGATGATCTTAATGCTAGACACACTAGCCTGGGTGACACCAAAACAAACGGGAATGGCAGAGTCTTTGTAAAATACTTAAGAGATAATAACATGTCCGTATTCAACTTTGACTCCTCTAACGTCACACACCTCAGGGGTGGCAGGCTTGATTATGTCATTGGTCACGGCCTCATTGATAATGCTGTCGGAGGATCAATTGTTCATGAATTAGTTAGTGATCATTTTGCCATATTCAGTTCATACACTATCAATAATGTCAAACCCCTAAGCTTTGGAAAAAAATAATTAATATCCCTGAAAATTTACACATGCTCTTCAAATTCCGCATTTCTGAATGGTATAACACTTACTGCTTTACTACCGTCAACGCATTATATGAGGACCTGGTCACTGAAGTAACCGCTTTTTATGACAATGTTGTAAAATCCACAAGACCCAAACCAGTGAGGAAGGGGCAGAGGTGGTTCACTGACTCACGCCTTAAGCCCCTGCATGACAGAGTTCTATTCCCAGCTGAGCAGTATAAAACACATAAAACAGCTGACACCCTCAACATATTTCTTAAAGCCAGCCGAGAGTTTAGAGAGCTAAAGGAACAGGTGTATAACCAGCACTGGGAACAGTTTCTGCAAGGCATCAATCATGCAACATCCTCATCCCATATGTGGAATAAAATTAAAAAGATTTCTCGTCCTAGCAGTCGTCAACTTGATCACCATTCACCTGTAGACTATGCCGACATGCTGCTTCAGCAATATGCAAGCACTGCTAGTATAAGCAGCCTGCCCCTAGATGTGCAAAACTATCTGGCTAGTACTAAAATAAATCGTAACTTCAATATTGAAATTGCCTGTAGTGAAATAGGGCCTGATGATAACTATGGCATAACCCCCTTTGAAATTAAAAATGCACTCAAGAAAGGTAAGGCTACCTCTCCTGGAGAGGATGGCATCACATACAACACCATGAGAGTACTTGCTGAGCTGCCAAATAGCCCTTTGCTAGAATTGTTTAATCAAAGTCTAAGGCAGGGTGTTTTACCTGACCGCTGGACACAGGGACTCATAATACCCATACCCAAGCCTAATTCACAAAAATTTAGACCCATTTCTCTGACGTCGTGCATGTGCAAAGTTCTTGAGAGAATTATTCTCGACAGACTAATGTTTCAAATCAAGCCCCACCTTGCCCCTAACCTGTATGGTTTCCTTCCTGGAAGAAGCACACAAACTTGCTTTGCTGAGTATTTTATCAGAGAGGGACCAAACTCTCAGGCGGCATTTATTGATCTCCAAACTGCTTTTGATACAGCAAACAAAGAAATAATCCTAGAACAGCTAGCCTCTTTTGGAGTTAAGGGAAGACTGTTGACATGGCTCAGGGGGTACCTGAGTAACAGAACCGCCTCAGTCCTTTTCAAGGGGGTCAAAAGTAAACTCTGTGCACCCTTTGAGTTGGGTACACCCCAGGGTGGAGTGCTAAGTCCCACACTGTTCAATGTTCTGATGCACAAATTAACAATTGATATTCCCACACTACCTGACGAAGCCGTCATTTGTTATGCCGATGATATATGCATTGTTGCAAATTCCCAAACTAGACTGCAAGCTCTACTTCACTCGCTGCTAAAAGCATTGAATGTGGTCTTGTTATCTCTATAACTAAATCCAGAGTTCTCCATCCCAAAGAGAAAACTCATGTCCCTATAGCTTTCAAGGTCAACAGCCAGAACATTGAAACGTGTGGGCAGCACAAATACCTTGGAGTTGGTATTAACAGTGACATTGTAAATGATCTACACCGTAGGTTAAAAGAAAGACTAAAACCATTGAGAACACTTACTGGTAAGAATATTGGTATCAATATTAAATATGCTAGACTATTCTATATGATGTTTGTTAGATCTCTCGTTGATTATAATGCTCTGCACTTAATTAATTTCCCCTCCTCTGTGTTGGACAAACTTGAAGTAATACAGAACGAGGCCATGAGGATAATTCTTGGTGCCCCAAGATGCACAAGAATCATCAACATGAGGGAAGAACTGAAGTTTCCAACCATACTAGAGAGAATAATGCAAGTTAACACTACCTTCTGTCTGAAAGTCATGAGAGATCCTACATCTCCTGCATTGCTCAGAGACAAATTATTTAGTGCTGTTAACACCCTTTTGACTGGTGCCGACATACCAACTCACTCCTTTTATGATAATTGGCTGAGAAACAATGCTTACAATCTCATTAAACTTAACATTCCTTTTAAGTGCAATCTACCAGTCTCTGATATTCCTCTTTATCTGTACCCCACCATTCAAGTATCATACACACCTGTCACCAAGAAAGATAATGAGAATCTTGCTCTACTCAAAGCTGTCACTCTTGAAACAATTGCCTCCTCCATCGAGAGTCTAAGATCTCACGAGCACTGTGTCTACACCGACGGCTCAGTCCAGTCTTCTACTGGACGGACTGCAGCGGCATGTAGGTTTTATAGAAATAATATTTGCACAAAGTCTGTCAGTGTCAGGTTAAACAACTGGCTGACCTCCACACAAGCAGAACTAGCAGCATTACATTTAGCAACCAGCACATTAAAAAATATTGGAGGAGGAATAATATTCTGCGATTCAAAGTCTGCTCTTCAAGCAATCGAAAACTTCTCTTGGAAGATCGACAGCAAGAACCTCATACTCCCAATTATAAATGACCTAATTGATGCACAGAGTAAAGGGTCTCGAATCTCCTTTGTATGGATACCTTCACACATAAATATAACCCATCATAATGAGACAGACATTGCAGCCAAATTAGCGTGTAACAAGTTTGAAGTTGAATTAGATCTAGGTATCCCCATCTCTGCTGTCAAAACTGTATTGGTCCAAACATTCAGATCTGATAGGAAAGAACTTACTGACTCCCAACGACCTGAAAGTACTAGTATAAAAAGCTATGATTTGTTCAGATCTGAAACCTACATCTATGGACAGCACAAAACGTCCACTAGACTGTGCGACACAGTGGTTGCAAGGATCAGGTTGGGTTACCGTTACCTGTGGTAGGTGGCTGCAGGTGACTGGTCTCCCAATCCTGAGCACTCCAGTTGCAAACTCTGTGAACAGGAACTACGGCATGATCTCCCGCACTACATCACTGAATGCCCAGTTATTAGACCTTTCAGACCAGTTGGCATGAGGTACCTGGAGCTTTGCAATTACTTTATTCACTCTCGTATTCTTGAAGATATCCTCACAGTATACCCAAAATTTGCCAGTGCAGGCTATTAAACACATGGCTCTGTATGACTAACCATCCTGCGAGATGGGGACTTGTATTACCACTGCTACCTTATTCAATCTTGTGTTGTTGATATCCTCAAAATGCATCCGGAGTCTGCCAGTGCAGACTGCCTATCACATGCCTCTGTATGACTAACCATCCTGTGTGATGGGGATTTTATAGCATCACCTAGTTAGCTTTTTTGACACACTGTACTCCACTTCAAATAGTCTAGGGTAGCTGCACTAATGCAGATGTACCTCATAACTTAATAAAAAAAAAAAAAAAGTCTCGTGTGGGACCCTGACTCTCGGCCTGCGGCTCAAGTCTCCTGTTCCCTCCGCGGTGACCTTGATGGGCTACACCATGCGGGCGTTCTACGCGGGACAGCCTCGACAATGTTTTCATTGTGGCATTGTGGGGCATCGGGCAGCTGATTGCACTGAGGTCACGGCTGCACCTATTAATTTGTTCCGGGACGAGGATTTTCCCCCGTTGGTGGCGCAGGACCTGCCGCCTCGTGATGGAGTGGGTGGGGAGGTTTCCCTGCCGCCTGCTGACCCGGTGGTGGCTGTTGGCCCGGCGTGTGATGGTGGTGTGTGCGGCTCCGCCTCCGCAATCTGTCTCGTCGCTTCCACCGGCTTCTGCACCTGTTTCCGTCTCTGCACCTCTGTTGCCTTTGACGTCTCTGCAGGCTCCCTCACCTGTGTTGGACCCTTTCCCTCCTGCGGCCGCGCCTGTTTCTTCTCCGGTCTCCTCTGTGGGTGGCGGTCTCGTCCCCAGTGTTGTTGAGGCTGACATTCTGCGGGGTCGTGCTACCCTGGTTGGGGGGCAGTCTACCGCTGGCTCTTCTCGGGTGCCTCCTGCGGGGCAGCTCCGATGATCAACGGCCTGTCCCCAACCGTTCATGTGCAGATGCGGGTGCTTCGCCTCCTCTTTCGTGGGCAGAGGAATGTGAGGATGCGACGAGTGTCGATGTTTCTTCTGTGAGCTGTTCCTCTGTGGAGTGTGAGGATGGTGCGTCTGGTGCTGGTGTGGGTCCGGTGGATGGTGTGAGCCCTGGTGTGGCTCCTGCTGTGGGGGTGGGTGCCGGTGTGGGGCCGGTACCTCTTGCTTTGGGTGCGTCGCCCGCGTCGGATGGTTCCGGTTCCCCGTGGGGGGTGGTTTCCCCTTGCGAGGTTGAGGGTGGACGTGGCGACCTGGTGATGGTCTTGAAGAAAGTTGCACGCCCTGAGGGTTCCGTGCCCCCCCTCCCCCGTCCCCCGTTTCGTCGGCGGCGGTTCTGCCGCCTCACACGTCTCCGGCCATTTCTTCTGTCTCCTGCTTTGTCGGGGGCGGTGTTGCCGCCTCGGCAGCCTCCGCCCGCTATTCCGGTGTCTCCTGCTTCCTCGGCGTAGGTGTTCCTGCCTCCCAAGTCGGGTTCTTCGTCTTCGGTGTACTGCGGTTGGGCGCGACCGCTTCCGCCGGATGTGGTGATTCCCGAGTATATGGAGTACCCACCGTGTCGTGAGCGCCGTTCACCTACCGAACTGGAGTATTTAATATGGGAGGCTTATAAGCAGAAGTATCCGTCGTGGAAGTTCCCTGAGAAATATCCTCCTTGTTGACTATTGTGTGTTGTGGGGTTGCTTGCTCCTGGGTGCGTGGGTGTGTTGTGGGGTTGCTTGCTCCTGGGTGCGTGGGTGTGTTGTGGGGTTGCTTGCTCCTGGGTGCGTGGGTGTGTTGTGGGGTTGCTTGCTCCTGGGTGCGTGGGTGTGTTGTGGGGTTGCTTGCTCCTGGGTGCGTGGGTGTGGGGTGGGGTTGCTTGCTCCTGGGTGCGTGGGTGTGTTGTGGGGTTGCTTGCGCCTGGGTGCGTGGGTGTGGGGTGGGGTTGCATGTGTGTGTCTGGGTCGGGGGGGGTTGTTTTCTGGTTCCTGCGTGTTCTGTTTATTTTTTCTGCTTATGGGTTGCTTGTGTGGGGTTTGCGTGTGCTTGTGTCTTTCTGTATATGTTCTGTGTGGTTTTATACTTCCAGCTCTGTGTGTAGTATGCGTGGCTGGTTGTGCTATTGTGCTGCTGTAGTGGTGTGTTTAGTGTGGTGGTGGTTGTGCTATTGTGCTGCTGTAGTGGTGTGTTTAGTGTGGTGGTGGTTGTGCTCTTGTGCTGCTGTAGTGGTGTGTTTAGTGTGGTGGTGGTTGTGCTCTTGTGCTGCTGTAGTGGTGTGTTTAGTGTGGTGGTGGTTGTGCTCTTGTGCTGCTGTAGTGGTGTGTTTAGTGTGGTGGTGGTTGTGCTATTGTGCTGCTGTAGTGGTGTGTTTAGTGTGGTGGTGGTTGTGCTATTGTGCTGCTGTAGTGGTGTGTTTAGTGTGGTGGTGGTTGTGCTCTTGTGCTGCTGTAGTGGTGTGTTTAGTGTGGTGGTGGTTGTGCTATTGTGCTGCTGTAGTGGTGTGTTTAGTGTGGTGGTGGTTGTGCTATTGTGCTGCTGTAGTGGTGTGTTTAGTGTGGTGGTGGTTGTGCTATTGTGCTGCTGTAGTGGTGTGTTTAGTGTGGTGGTGGTTGTGCTATTGTGCTGCTGTAGTGGTGTGTTTAGTGTGGTGGTGGTTGTGCTCTTCTGCTGCTGTAGTGGTGTGTTTAGTGTGGTGGTGGTTGTGCTATTGTGCTGCTGTAGTGGTGTGTTTAGTGTGGTGGTGGTTGTGCTCTTGTGCTGCTGTAGTGGTGTGTTTAGTGTGGTGGTGGTTGTGCTATTGTGCTGCTGTAGCGGTGTGTTTAGTGTGGTGGTGGTTGTGCTATTGTGCTGCTGTAGCGGTGTGTTTAGTGTGGTGGTGGTTGTGCTATTGTGCTGCTGTAGCGGTGTGTTTAGTGTGGTGGTGGTTGTGCTATTGTGCTGCTGTAGCGGTGTGTTTAGTGTGGTGGTGGTATATATTTTGTACTTGTGTTCTTACGGCCTTTTGGTTGTTTGCATGTTTTTTGTGCCTTTTGTTTGTTTTTTGTACTTACGGTTCCCTGTGTGGTTCTGTTTTCTGTTATTAATGCCTTGTGTCCTGTACTGCTTTTAGCTTGTCTTATGTGCCCGTGTTGGGGTTTGTTATATGCTTTGTATCATGTATATTTCACTTTTGATTATTCTTGTGTTTGGGTTCTGTTCCTGTATCCTGTATTGTGTATCATGTATGTACTCATGTTTTCTTGTATGTGGTTTTTCTGTTTGTACTTTGTAGTTTTCTTTTATAAAAAACAAAAATAACAAAGGTGCAGTTAATACCTTAAACAAAATGCTATGTGCGTCTACCGTCACCCGTAGGCGAGAGTAATACTACAGCAATGAGCACCAGAAGGGTAATCCGTCGCTGTGGACGCTGGCAGGGCTTCTTATATGGGCTGTGACATCATCTTTGGCGCGAAACGGAGCTGTGGCGTCTGGTCAACCGGCGAGACGACAGTGTGCGGGTCTCGGGTACTGTGAGGTGGGAGTTGTGTTGTTGAATCTTTATGTTGTAGCATGTTGGTAAGTAGGCGGTAAATGAACAGGCAAGATCAACTGCTAAGCAGGAGATTACCGTAACAGCTCCTCCCCGAAGCCTGTTCCTATCGCCTGAGATGCTGCTGTGGAGTGGAGAGTTGAAGTGGGAGGTTCCACCTCGTGGACTCGGGAGAGTGCTTTGGCGACGACGTTGTCCGAGCCTTTGATGAAGAAGATGTTGAGATTGTAGTTCTGCAGATATAAGGCCCAGCGAAGGATACTAGGGTAACAGAAACTGCACAACTAGTGCTACAGGAACCAGTAAACTAGGGTTAGAGGAACTGCACAACTACCGCTATAATGACACGTGTTCTTTAATAACTCGGGGATATCTTTGTCGTCAAATAATTATGTCATACAAGCATAACAATTAGAAGAAAATTCTGTTAAATAGTTTTATTTAATTTATTCAAACTGCCTAAAAGTTACCATGCAAAGTAGAATCTCATTGTAATTATGAACCGCCAATAAAGCTAAATCAACAGAGCCGGACTGTCTCAAAAACCATTACATATACCAGTCACTAGCAAGGGTCTGCCCGCCTCTCACAGACTACCTCCGCCTCCCGCTAGTCCAAACATCAGCCCCACCAGTCCCAGGAAGTCCCACCAACACTAAATTGTCTAACCAACACATAATAGTCCCGCCAACACATAATAGTCCCGCCAACTCAAAATAGTCCCAACAATAACCCATCTTTGACCCTGGTCAAAGAACAATAACCCTGGTCAAAGAACAATAATTTGTTGGACTGTAAAACGAGTCATATGGCTGACAAGCGAACACACGATGAAAATATTCGGGATATAATTTTAAATACAAATGAGGATCCAGTTATCACTGTTAAATAGCATTCAATATAATTGTAAATAATAAAGCAAAATTTACAGTTACTTTAGAAATCAAAGAATTATGTGCATTGTTTATATATTAGTAGAAAAATGTCTCTGTTAATGATGAAGCAAGCATGACATCTAAGAAAAAAATATTTGCTTAAATTTGCACAATACACAATTTTATAACTATCTAATTCCTAATATTAGACAAAGAGCAAAACTTTCTTTCATTTATTATTGGTGAGAAAGATGTATGTAAAGTGCCCAAATAAAGCAGCTGGACTTGACAAATTATGTCTAAAAAGAAACAAAAATGAAAAAATCGAGTTCTGACAAATTTGACCATAATTTTTAATGTCACTCAAAACAGGAACAGTTCCGAAAAACTAGAAATTGCTGACATACCAATATATGAAAAACAGAATATGTTTTCCTCTACCTTTCAATCTTACAATCTATATTGTTACAATAACAATCTACCTTTCAGCTTACATTCGATAGTTGGTTAACTCTTGGAGACAAGTTACACAAATAGTTAATAAAATATTGTTATCCGACATCTTAAGTAGGATATGTTATCCGACATTCATCAGACATTAATTGGTCTGATGAATATCAGATCTTTAAGGATAAATATTAAGTAATACACATTGGAAAATGTGAAGCGACAATAACAGGGAAGCTATTGGATGAAGACCATAGAGATAATAGAAGTAAAAAGGTGATAGTGGCTGCTTTATTATGGCGAAGTAAAGCTGTTTACCGACAGTATAATATTCAGGTATCATGTTATTCTTAATATAATTCTTGGTTCGATAACAGAAAGTCATCCCAACTCGGTTCAGTGCAGTTGTACGTTGTATTCAAGAATATTGTAAACAAGTCAGTAATCCGGAAGGGCACATGGAGGGACCTTTAACAAGCCGCCGGCTTCCTGTCCTCGTCGAGGCCACTAATATTAGTGGCCCAAGGTAAATTCAGGTAAGTTTGGGCAATGTATCTGTAGAAGGATATTGATATATTGGAAGGTGTTCAACGCAGAGTGACAAAGTTGACAACAAAACTTGAACATCACATAAAACCTTTTTAAAAGAACAGAACTGAATTAGTCTTGAAAGGAGAATATTTTGAACTGATGTTCCTTCTCACATTAACATACGTAATTATCGTTTCCTCGTTTCCAGCTTTCAAGTGGCAGAAAGTCGTCAGTCTGGAGGAAGAAGGTAACACAGTAGACGAGTGATCCCCCAAACAATTGAACAAACATACCAGCCAACATAAAAACTTTTAGACTAATCTTGCGGTAAATATAAAAGACAGTTTATCAGGTGTTATAACTCTCAATACCCTAAATACTTTTAAAATTAGATTGGATATGGTATCGTAAAATCAACTCCTTACATTGTTTGTATAACCTAAAGCATTTTTTAAACCAACAGCCTAGTTAGAATCTACAGCCTGTTAAAGTTTGAAAATGTTTGTAATCCTCTGTATAAAGTGATTACAAAATAAAAAGCTTGTTTATATTTACAATGACCTTATATGATGCAAAACACGGAACATATTCCTGAAAAGTTTATGGCTCCTTTACTGATATGAGTGTACTCACCTAGTTGTGCTTGCGGGGGTTGAGCTTTAGCTCTTTGGTCCCGCCTCTCAACCGTCAATCAACAGGTGTACAGGTTCCTGAGCCTATTGGGCTCAATCATATCTACACTTGAAACTGTGTATAGAGTGAGCCTCCACCACATCACTTCCTAATGCATTCCAATTGTCAACCACTATGACACTAAAAAAGTTCTTTCTAACATCTCTGTGGCTCATTTGAACACTCAGTTTCCACCTGTGTCCCCTTGTGCGTGTGCCCTTTGTGTTAAATAGACTGTCTTTATCTACCCTAAGAATTCCCTTGAGAATCTTGAATGTGGTGATCATGTCCCCCCTAACTTTTCTGTCTTCCAGCGAAGTAAGGTTTAATTCCCGTAGTCTCTCCTCGTAGCTCATACCTCTCAGCTCGGGTACTAGTCTGGTGGCAAACCTTTGAACCTTTTCCAGTTTAGTCTTATCCATGACTAGATATGGACTCCATGCTGGGGCTGCATACTCCAGGATTGGCCTAACATATGTGGTATACAAAATTCTGAATTGTGGGAACCGACCTGTGAGATTTATATTTATTTAATTTATATGAATTTATATTTACGTTAATTTATATACTTCGATAGCAATTTGTATAATGATAAGTGGACTGTATTTCTGCAATAATCTCTTAATCTCACAAATCGATCCTCTACACATTAGGGGGGGGTTATTAAATTAATATATATGCAGCCAATCAAACTACAGTAATAGCTACATACATTGATGAGGTTCCTTATCTTATAGTACAGCAGGCTAGTCCACCAGGTATAACTAGGGTGTAGACACCAAATTATCCTCTTTGAGGCAGCTTCCATATCACCCAGTAACTGGTGCACAAATCTTGCATCCTCGTCTTGACCTGTCAAAAGTGCGCTAGCTGTGAAGCCAGATACCTATATATGACAAGTATATCAGAGAAAACAGTACATGGAACATTAAAGACCTGGCTTAATTACCTTTAGTATGAGGCGATTTCGCGTTCTAACCGGGTCACCCTATATAATGACATTAATGGCCACTAATGATAGATAATGGGTTTCGGAAAGAACACTTAACTTGATTTGTTGACAGCGTGTTGACAGATGGTACACCTTTGGTATCCATAACACTACGTCCAAGTAAAATTAACAGGAGCCGAATTTGCTCCCGTGTGAGCCTCTGGTCTCAATATAAACAACAATGGCTGCCCTCCTTCTCACTCTGACGCCTGGCTTACATTGTCCACATTTCAGAAAGTGATAGAAGGGTCACATTTACTCTACTTTAATATTGATAATTAAGTTAATTTATATAAGATGTTTTTATGATGGTAAAGTCCAAAGACTAATGTATTTAAGAATAATTCCCAGCAGAATAGCTGGTGAATTATAATAGTATGTGGTGATGATATCCCGTTTTCTTTAGACGGTAATTCCACTACAAGTTACGTTTTCTATGGGTAACTTGTTGGTAATACAGCTATTATCTGTATGATTATTAAATGGTGTCGGATTTTCCGACATAATTCCCCAGGGGGCTGCTCACGGGTCGAAGTCCTAATTAGAACAGACGAACACCGATACTCCTCCTTCGAATTATTACATTAATTTGATGTTAGTAGTTAGTAATCACACATTTGTGTGTCTGTTCGTACAGGACGGATGTCCCGTACTAGAGTTGCAGGGGTTAGAAGTCTAATGCGATTTCATTTCCCTGTCAACTCTTGAAAGGCTAATATTCAAGCCTTATTACATATTATTTAACCCAGAAGACTGGATGTGATCAAGTACTACAGTCAAGTATGATTCAGGGACTGCAGTGAGATCAGTGACATAGATATAACTTGAAGTTTGTTCAGGTAACTGGTCACTGATATATAAACACTGAGGCCCATGGAATACATCTTGATTAAATAATAAATGTATCAAATCAGTCATCAGATTTATTGGGGTTTAATTTAGTTAATTGATTCAGAGGATTGAATAGCTCATCATTAAAGTAAAGTATGGTTCTGAGACTGCAGTGGGTTCAGTGACATTGGTCGCAGTGACTTGTAGCTGTTTTAGGCTACTGTTCACTGATTTGCCACTGAAGCCTCATGAACTCAACTTCAGCTTCAAATGATGATACTAACATCAACCTCTGTTACTATAGTCAGCTGTAATCTCCTTAGTATAATGCTACTGGAGAAATATAATCAGCTGACAAATTCAGATTTCTACTGGTATTGTTTATCTGCAGGCATAGGTCTCCTCAGGCTTGATACTGGGCCTGAGAGTAATTTACCTCCTGCAGAGTTTAACATGGTTATACCCTGATATTTAGTAGGGCTACCAATGAATCGATGGCAATAGTCTGTCCCTACAAGGAGACCGAAGTCGGTGAGGTGATCAGACTTAATATTATCTGCCAATTTTATTCCTCTATTTCTCAGGAATTTGGCTGTTGCTCTCAGACCTTGAACTTGTAGGTCTACTGGTATTTTGTCCACCACAATGGCTTGTACTCGACAGACGTACCTGCCTAAGCGTACTGATGGTTGTACCACCTGGTAGACTTGAGGTCCTGCATCTGTTACAAACCCTGAGATGTTGAATGACATCTGGGCTACAGGCCTTAATTGTAATTCATCTGCCAACCTTTTAGTGATGTATGTTCTTTGGGATCCTTGGTCAAACAACCCACGGGTATGGACCTTGGCCCTCTTATTCAGGATGGTAATTTGGGCAGTAGGCA